CGTGGGGCCCCGGCCTGCGCAGCGCGGCGCCGCCCGCGGAGGGGCAGGCACGTGGCGCGCCGGGCTCGAGGGAACAATGAGCGGGGCTTCCGCCGTCGCCGCCTGCTGCTTCTCCCACTGCACCGCCGTTACATGCCGCTCTCCTTCCGCCGCAGTCTCCCAAGGAGCCCGAGCAGCTGCGCAAGCTCTTCATCGGAGGGCTGAGCTTCGAGACCACCGACGAGAGCCTGAGGAGCCATTTTGAGCAATGGGGGACGCTCACGGACTGTGTGGTAAGAGCGGGACGGGACAAAAGCAACAGGCCGTGTTCTTGGGTGACTTTTTTTTTTTTTTTTTTTAATTTGCTCGTCTGGCCGTAGTTTCTGCCCGGACGTTTTTTGAAGGTAGTTTTCATGGAGTGATAGTTTGGTCGAGGGACTTGTTGTATCCACTGTTTAAAACCTCGATGTCTTCGGGTATCGAGTTTCTCGTTGGCCAGGCGCAAAAGTAGAAATGACAGCAACTTTCGGGGTCAGGCCGTGCCTTAATGAATTGACTGTTCTCAGGTAATGAGAGATCCGAACACCAAGCGTTCCAGGGGCTTTGGGTTTGTCACTTACGCCACCGTGGAGGAGGTGGATGCAGCCATGAATGCGAGGCCACACAAAGTGGATGGAAGAGTCGTGGAACCAAAGAGAGCTGTTTCAAGAGAAGTGAGTGTTTCTTCTCCTTTCTCTTTGCACGTAGTGGTGTGCTGTTAGGGACCTCAGACTGGAAAGAAGTCTGATTCTTAATTTCTTTCAATGTGGGGGTAGGCCGGGCGTGGTGGCACACGCCTGTAATCCCAGCCTGTAATCCCAGCACTTGGAAGGCTGAGGCAGGAGGAGCTTTGCGAGTTGGAGACAAGCCTGGGCTACAAAGTGAGCTCAAGGCCAGCTTGAACTGCATAGTGAGACTGTTTCAAAAACAAAAAATCTGAAGGTCAATTTCACTCACAGAAATTGATTTTCATTGTGATAGGATTCTCAAAGACCAGGTGCCCACTTAACGGTGAAGAAGATCTTTGTTGGTGGCATTAAAGAAGATACTGAAGAACATCACCTACGAGATTATTTTGAACAGTATGGAAAAATCGAAGTGATTGAAATCATGACTGACCGAGGCAGTGGAAAGAAGAGGGGCTTTGCTTTTGTAACCTTTGACGACCATGATTCTGTGGATAAGATTGTCAGTAAGTAGAAAGTCAGTAGCATTTAGCAAGGGCCCTAAAGTCGCATGATGTCTAAATCCTAAGGTCTTTTTGGTTTTAATTTTTCTTAGTTCAAAAATACCATACTGTGAACGGCCACAACTGTGAAGTGAGGAAAGCCCTTTCGAAGCAGGAGATGGCTAGTGCTTCATCTAGCCAAAGAGGTACGTTTGGTGCTTAGTGAAACCTTAAGAGGTAAATTTGAACTGCTGTAAACTATAGTTTAACCCTTGAACTTACTTTTTAAGGTCGAAGTGGCTCTGGAAATTTTGGTGGTGGTCGTGGAGGTGGTTTTGGTGGCAATGACAGTTTTGGTCGAGGAGGAAACTTCAGTGGTCGAGGTAAGGCTTAGTAAAAAAAAATAATAATTTTGCAGTTTTATTTGTCCTTTTAATAACAGTTGGCCTGTGCTTTTATTTATTTATTTTTTTCCTGGTACTGGGAATCGAACTCACCACCTCACTCTTGCCAGACAGGCGCTGTGCCGCGGAGCTAAAGCCCCAGCGCCTTGACCTGTGTTTTTAAAGTTATGTCTTCAAAGTTTCTGGGCATTTTGTTGTTTTGGTGCCGGAATCAAACTCAGGGCTTCATGCTTATTGGGCAGGCCCTATGCTGCTGAGCTGTATCTCTGGCCTGTTTGTTCATTTTTAGTGTAAGCTTAGTTCTTTGCTTTGTTTTTTGAGACAGGGTCTGGCTGTGCAGTTCAGGCTGGCCTTGACCTCACTTTGTAGCCCAGGCTGGTCTCAAACTCCCAACGATCTTCCTGCCTCAGCCTCCCGAGTGCGGGAAATTATAGGCGTGTGCCCCCATGCCCGGCTAGTGCAAGCTTAGTTCTGTTTTCTTTATAAACAGTTTAGTCTTCAGTGTGCAATTAATGAGCATAAACCTAATTTGAAACTTTCTTCCAGGTGGCTTTGGTGGCAGCCGAGGTGGAGGTGGATATGGTGGCAGTGGGGATGGCTACAATGGATTTGGTAATGATGGTAAGTTTTTAGAGGAATATGTAAGTAAAATTTTCTGGCAACCTGTACCTTTAGAATAGGCTAGTAGAAACTAAATCTAGTGCATGACAAGCTCAACTTGGCCCATAATACGCATGCTGTGAATAGGCCTTCAGCCGTTACACTTGAACATATTTACATTGTTAAATACTTTTGTCTTATTGAGAAGAATTGTATTCTTGTAGGTGGTTATGGAGGAGGCGGCCCTGGTTACTCTGGAGGAAGCAGAGGCTATGGAAGTGGTGGACAGGGTTATGGAAACCAGGGCAGTGGCTATGGCGGGAGTGGCAGCTATGACAGCTATAACAACGGAGGAGGCGGAGGCGGCTTTGGCGGTAGTAGTGGTAGGTATCCAGTGATCCAAGTACTTGGTGTGATAGCTAGATTAGCTTGTTAGAGTTTGTGCCCTTGTTGGAATTTGAAGCTCTTAAAGCGTTGCGTGGTACACTGCATGGTACATTATAAACAAGCTTGCTGTGCTACCTCCTCCTGGCTTTAAGCTGGGGCCGCCTCACTCCCAAAAAGTAGATGGATAAAATGGATGGATAGTGTTGTCTTGAATTTGAGTTAGGTTAGCATTGTAGCAGGGTATAGTATCTAAATTTTGGGACCTTAGGTGTTTAGTTGATACATGTACACAAAATTTGTTTACATTGGCCTAGGAGGCCTAAAGGCCTTTAAGACTGGAGAGTGCTTGTAAGTGCTACCAGGAAAATTCAAAATTGTATCATGGTGAGTTGGGTTGATTTTATTAATGCTGGATTATTCAACGTGAATGCCTTACCCAGAGAGTGAGAAAGAATTCGCAGCACCAATTTGGGAGGAAGGAAGGCAGCTAATGTCACCTCTGCATTCTAAACCCTAAGCACAGTTGGGCACCCATCAGTCGTCTTCTCCAAGTAACACATAAAGGCCTTCTTTCCATCTGTAGGAAGCAATTATGGAGGTGGTGGAAGCTACAATGAATTTGGCAATTACAACAATCAGTCGTCAAATTTTGGACCCATGAAGGGAGGAAATTTTGGAGGCAGAAGCTCTGGGCCCTATGGTGGTGGAGGCCAATACTTTACCAAACCACGAAATCAAGGTATAGTATGTATGTAGTATGGAATAATCCCAGAGGGCCAAATAGAGCTAATACTGGTGAATATATTAGCTCTTTAGGCAGGCATGGTGGCACTCCCCTGTAATCCTAGCACTCAGGGAGGCTGAGCCAGAGGGATCACTAAATTTGAGGCCAGCCTGGATTACATTACAAGATCATATCTCAAAAATTCCAAAAAGAAAAAAAATACATTAGCTCTTCAAATTAGTATATTTGTAGGTAGTAAAAACGCTGAAATTTAAAGACATCAAACTTCATTTGCAATCAAATTGAGAAGTTCATTTGCCTGGTAACTTTTTGTCATTTAGCAAGGGTTCTTTTGAATAGCCCAAACTTGTGAATATGAATTTGGCATTGTCTTAAATGTAAAGTCATTTACATAAGTCAGTAAATATTTCCAAAGTCTAAAAGAGATTTTCTTTCAGGTGGCTATGGTGGTTCCAGCAGCAGCAGTAGCTATGGCAGTGGCAGAAGGTTTTAAACACTTCCAGGTAAGCCAGCACCTTTTTTGTGGTAGCTTAAATTTGCATTATTGCTGATAAACCCAGTAACCCTAATGTAGCTGAGCAGTGCAACATAGTTAACATTATAATTGCAGTAAAATTGTGGATATTAATGTTCAGATCAGCAAAATTTGTGG